TATAGTATCATAAAAAACGTGAAAGTCTTTCATCTTATTAAAGTGGAGTAATTTGTCTAAATCAGAAATTTTATAAGAGTTGTTTCAAAATGTGAATTTATAAAAAGGGTTAATGGTTAAAAAAGAGAAAAAGATTCAAGATGTGGAAATATATTTTAATATAAAAGGTTAAAGGAAAAAGAAATGTTTCTAGATGAGATAATCTCTGTGTGGTAAAGTAAAAAGTTGTAAAATGCCGTTTAAAAAGATTTTGAGGAAACTAGACTTACTTTAAAAGCTTGAGAAAGGAAGAAAGAAGAAAAAGGTATTTGTACATGGCAGATTGAGACAAAGCTTCTCAATGGAGTTAAAAAAAAAAAAGGCCTTTGGTTGAAGGGCAGCCATGTAAACTAACATTAAAGCGATTTAAACAGAATCTAAGCCTCGTTTAAAAGAGTGAAGCTGTAGGTGGTGAAAAAGTACATTTAAAAGTACAGTATAGATGATAATTAAAAGGCTTTAAAAGGTTAAATTGAAGGTGGTTAAAATGCCTTCATGATGGAGGAAAGAAGCTTAGTTAATCTTAAAGGCATTGCTTTAAAAAAGTGAGAAGATAATAGGATAAAAGATTTAGATAAAGAAGATTAAAAATTTGAAGTAGAAAACTTTAAAAACAGAAGTACAGAAAGGTAAAAAAAAGAGAGAAGATGTAGAAAGATAAAAAAGATATAGAAAGATAGAAAAGATGTAGGAAAACAAGAATTTTAAACCCACAAAATTAAAAAAAAAAAAAAAACAAAGAGGAAAAAAAAGCAACTAAGGGTGAATGTACTAACCTTAAAGGAAAACTAGAAGATGATCTTTAAGGGGTATATATCCCCCAAAGATAAACTTAAAATAACCCTTTTTACTCTAAACTTTTTAAAATTTAGATTCATCAGGACTTAGTGCTGCGGAAAGGCATATGTATCCAAAAAATGTACATAAGCCTAAAGTACTTTGGAAAGAGATTCTAACAGGACAATGGAAAGGTCCTGACCCAGTGATTGTCTGGAGTCGGGGGTCTGTTTGTGTTTTTCCATAGGGAGAACAGCAGCCGATTTGGATTCCAGAGAGATTAACTAAAACAATTTCTACAGATCAAAAAGAAGATGATTTGACTCAAATCCATAACAGCTGATATCCAGAACTCCAGCTTGGCCATTCTTACATCTGCGACAGTGATTAACCAGTGATGCAATTTTTATTTCCTTGCCAGCGCACCCCATGTTAATTGTGGTAGTGCTGACATATCTTTGCTGATGGTGTCACCAGTGATGCAATTTTTCCCAAGGAGCCGTCAATTGGCTTGGTGTCGTGGCATTTCTGTATCCTCCTCCCTTCTGCTAGTGATGGTCTAAAATTTGGGGGCCAATGGCTGTATGCTGGACCGGTAGTCAGTGACGGGTATGATCCAATTGCAGTGGTATCAACCTAAGACAGGAGGCTGACGCCTAAAGGTCAGTTTTCCGATGACGGGTAAGAACCATATGTTGAATTGGACAACCTACCAGGCACGGTCCTTAAGCCACATTGCTTGTTGTTTAATTAATCAGAAGGGGGGAGATGCTGGGAGCCATTAGCCAAGTAGGTATGACAATTTCCTTGCCAGTGTACCCCATGTTGCTGACATTTTGCAGTGACATTGAATATAGGTGACCTTGCTCAAGGACCAGGGCGGATTAGGGTGTTCCCGGTTTAAGATAATCGGGTTTAGGGCGTTCCCAGTTTAGGTTCCAGGTTTAAGGTTTAAGATTATTCCTGCTGGGAATAGGGCGTATCCTGCTGCCTGAGTTCCCCTTGAGTTCTCACGGGATTCAGACAGTATTTTTTGGGAGATAGAAGCCCAGTGGATGTGGATTTGGGCAGAGAACGTGGATTTCCCCAGAACGTGATTGTAGACGGCTGGTGTGAGTTCGGGAATAAAGAGTTGCTGTTTGAATCTACAAGCTGTGTGGTGGCTCGTGATTGTGTGCCCAGCCAGACTGTGGCATTTGTGCCCAGCCAGACTGCGGCATTCTTTCCTTTTTTGTACTCCTCTCCCTTCCCTGCATTTCCCTTTGTTTAATCTACTGAATAACTATGATTCCCCCAACATTATTGTTACTTGTATTTGTGATATTTGCCATTCTGACTGGAGTTAGATGAGATATCAGTGTAGCTTTAATTTACAATTTTTTAGAGATGTTGAACATTTTTTTCATATATTTTTGACTATTTCTATTTTTGAGAAGGGTCTGTTCAGTACCTTCGTCTGTTTAATTGATTGGGTTATTGGGTGTGTGTGTGTGTGTGTTTGTGTGTGTGTGTGTGTTTGTGTGTGTGTGTGTGTTAAGTTTTTTGAGTTCTTCTCTAACTCCATCTATTTACCTGCAAATGCCATGATTTTGTTCTTTTTTAATGCTGAGTAAAATTCCATTGTATATATATGCCACATTTTTAATCCATTCATCCACTGAAGGACATCTAGTTTGGCTCCACAGTTTAGCTATTGTGAATTGTGCTGCTGTAAACATTGATGTGGCTGTGTCCCTGTAGTATGCTATTTTTAAGTCCTATTGGTATAGACTGAGGAGAGGGATAGCTGGGTCAAATGGTGGTTCCATTCCCAATTTTCCAAGAAATCTCCATACTGCTTTCCATATTGGCTGCACCAATTTGCAGTCCCACCAGCAGTGTATGAGTATATAAGGCTGATGAGCTTTTTAAAAGAACAGTTTTTGCAAGGCAGGTTTACTATCTACCAATTTTCTCCATTTTTTTGTTTCATTTTTTTTCTTATTTTGATTTTGACCCTAGAAAGTCTTTATTTCTTCTTAACTTTTTTAAAAAAAATATTTATTCTTAAGTTTTAGGTGGACACAATATCTTTATTTTACATTTACGTGGTGCTAAGGATTGAACCCAGTGCCTCATGCATGCTAGGCGAGCACTCTACCACTGAGCCACAACCCCAGCCCCTCTTCTTAACTTTTAAAGGATATTTTATTGGATACAGGCTTTTCATTTGATAGGATTATTTTTCTTTCAAATCTTTAAATATTATTCAGTCTGTTTTTTCTTGTTTGCTTGTTCATGAAGAAAAGTCTGATGTAATTATGATGTCTCTTAAGTAAGATACATTTTCCTCTGGCTTCTCTCCTTTTTTTGATTTTCTAAAGTTTATATTTGTTATGCCTAGATACAGATTTTTGAGGGGAGTACTGGTGATCAAACTCAGGGTCTTATTTCAGCTAGAAATGTTCTCTACCACGAGGCTATACCCCTAGTACTGATTAGATTTTTCATATTGTTTTTTGATGTTCTCTATGCTTGATGTCTACATTAATTTTGAAAAATTCTTGACCACTATTACTTCAAACATTTTTCTTTTTTTAAATAAGCTTCACACAGCATCTTTGATTATGCCTCTTATTTTTCTTTTAATCTCAACCAATGCCCCTCTTTATTTTCCTCCCCTGCTGGCATTGACTTGTTCATAAACTAGGACTTTTTTCCCTGTGGGGTATCTCATACTATGTCTGTTTCATTTTGGTATTGTTTATTTAATTTGTTTTTCTGATCCCTGGATCTTCTTAAATAGAAGTTAGCTACTTTGGCTTGATTATATTTACAGTCAACATGTTTTGCCAAAAAATACATATATATGCATATGTACGTTTATATAACCTCATGGTTTACAAATTATGTCTATTCCTAGTGATGTTTAAATTTATCAATGGGTTCAGATGACAGTAGTCTAATCTTTTCTTTGTAAATCTTTCCATCCACCTTTAATCCATTCTTGTTTACCTCTTTTCAAATCACTTGTTTCCTTAGGGAGGGTTTCAAAGTGATTTGTCATTTTGTCATTCTTTTTCTATTAATGATCTGGATTCTTCTCTAATAATTGTTTCCTTAAGCTATCAGAATTATTGTCTACTCTTAAATACAGGTCTCTGCACAGAATGCTTAACTCTCTATTTTTTTTAAATGAATCTTTCTTTTTTTGTAGATGGACACAACACAATGCCTTTATTTTTATGTGGTGAGAGTAGAACCCGGGTCCCACCCATCCTAGGCGAGCACTCTACCACTGAGCCACAATTCCAGCCCCTTAACTCTATATTTTTAATTGCTAATTTCTTTAAAATAATTTTGATAATTTACATATTTTTTCAATATTTGACCTCTTTATTCATATTTAAGTATTCTTTAAAGTTTTTCTATTAGTTACATTCCTTTTTTAAATTCCTTCTATGGCTTTGTTCCCTTTTGATTAATTTCTCTGTAATTTTGTGTATCATAATTGTTTGTTTGTTTGTTTCTTTTTCCCACTGTGTAACCCGCTTCAGTGCCAGCAGCCTACAGGCAGAGGCCAGGCAGTGGTTCAGAGCCACAGTTTTCTCTGGCATGAGGCACTATGAGAAACCATAATCGTTTTTAAAAAGCATATTCTTTAAAAATAAATTCTATGCTGGATGTGGTTGCACATGTCTATTGTCCCACTTACTTGGGATTTGGGAGGTTGAGATGGGAGGGTCACCTAAATCCAGGCATTTATTTATTTTTATGTGGGGCTGAGGATCGAACCCAGGGCCTCACATCTGTGAGGCAGGTGCTCTACCACTGAGCCACCACCCCAGCCCCTGATTGTTTTCTTTTATCCCATTGTAGATGCAGATTTAAATATTTGAGGTATTTTTGTGAGCATTTAAAAAAAGAAATTTGTGGGTGTATCCAGAAAACATTACATACACTCTTTTATTATCTGAAATCCAGAATCATGGCAACATATTGGCTGCTTGGATCATTGCTGGGAATTAGAGGAAGAAAGTCTTACAGATAATACATAGTACACACATAGAAATTTGTTTACTGAAACCTTCAACTTCTTTTATGGTAGAGATAACTTAAGCGCTGGAGGAATTAAAACTGGAGGAATCAGTATGGAATCAGGTCAAGTAAACGTTTCTCTCTCTTTTTTTTTCCCCCTATTTCAGGCATGTTCCCTGGAACCTTCACGAACCCAAAATAGGCGAATTTCATTTCACTGGAAACCTGGACGTGATGTATGTGTTCATGTTTTAATTGCCCAATTCTGTGGCTTAGAGACAGGGGTTTGGTTTTGGGAATCAGATGTAATAAAAGGGGACACCTGATTTTCTACTTTTAAAACTATCAGAGAGCTCTGATAATTATTGTTTCCTGGATGGAAAACCTCTTAAGCAGGGAGTCTGTCCCAGTGAACCATAGATCTTAGTGTCACAGTGTGGTTTAAAAGTTGTTCATCCAGTATTCTACAGTGTTAATCTATCATATAGAACCTGCTCTGGTACTTAATAATAGGAGATTTCTAGACTATAGTTTATAAGACTTCTAAGATATGACAGAAGTAGAGTAACTGTTTATTCAAAAATATGTGTATCTGCAACAATTTGACATTATCTTTGGTGCTGGAAATGGATAGACAGCACTGTGCTTTGAAGAATAAAGATTCTCCTTTTTTTTTTTTTTTTTTTTGGTGCTGGGGATTGAACCCAGGGACTTATGCATGCAAGGCAAGCACTCTACCAACTGAGCTATATCCCCAGCCCGTGGTATAAAGGTGTATTAAGAATTGTAATGCAAAAGAAAAAAAAAATAAATCAATAGGAGAGCTCATGTATAATGGCATAATTTGGCGTGAACATACTTTATATACAGAGTTACGAAAAATTGTGCTATGAATGGATAATTATGAATGTAATGCATTCCACTATTGTCATGTATGAAAGAAATAAATTAAAAAAATAAACTGCAAGAATCCTAAAAACAGACAAATAAAAAAGAATAAAGATTCTCTGCCAAAAACAGGCAAATACAACATACCAAGGATATACAGACCAAACTATGGAAACAAATCAGGAAAGATAATGTGAACATACAGCTGAGGAAAGTTTCAAATTTGAACAAGAGTTAACTAGAAGGGGCTGGATGGTATTTCAGGTGGAGTGTATATCACCTAAGGTGATGTCAGATGCTAAAAAAGGTAAGCCTTATATTCCATTGACAATAAATATTTTTATTCAAGTAGAATTTGAAGTAGATATTTCTGATGTACATATATATCTCAGTTCGAGTTAATAATTTGAGGGTTTCAGGGTCTTTTCTATCTTATGCTGTCATAATCTTTCATACATAACTTCCAAACCACTGAACTCTTCTGCCTCCAGCTAGCAAGTTGAATAAACAACACAAAGAATCTCCTTCAGAAGTTGCAAGAGATTGCTTCTGTTCACACCTTATGGGCTGGAAATCAATCACATGGCCCCATCTAGTGCTTGATGGCTTAGAAGTGTAGTTGAACTGTATGTCAGAGAAGAAAAAGGAATAGATTTTCTGGTTAACTTTCTGCCACACATCTTATTTATTTTTTATTTGTTCTAATTAGTTATACATAACAGTAGAATGCATTTTGACACACCATACATAAATGAAGTATAAATTCATATATGTCTGGTTGTACATGATGTAGGTCATGTAATCATATATGAACATGTCCAATTCATTTCTACCCCCATTCTCCCTCCCCTCCCATCACTCCCCTCTGTCTATTCCAAAATACCACTATTCTACCCCTACTCATATTGTGTATTAGCATCTGCATATCAAAGAAAACATTTGGCCTTTGGTTCTTTGGGACTGGCATATTTCACTTAGCATGATATTTGCCAGTTCCATCCATTTACTGGCAAATGCCATAATTTCATTTTTCTTTAAAGCTAAGTATTATTCCATTGTGTATGTATATCACAATTTCTTTATCCATTCATCTGTTGAAGGGCACCTAGTTTCATCCCATAGTTCAGCTATTGTGAATTGTGCTGCTGTAAACAGTGATGTTGCTAAGTCACTGTAGTATGCTGATTTTAAGTCCTTTGGGTATAATCCTAGGAGAGTGATGACTGGGTCAAATGGTGGTTTCATTCCAAGTTTTCTTAGGAATCTCCATAGTGGTTGCACCAATTTGAAGACCCACCAGGAATGTTTGAGTGTACCTTTTCCCCCACATCCTGCTACCATTTATTGTTGCTTGTATTCTTGATGACTGCTTTTCTGACTGGAGTGAGATGGAATCTCAGTGTAATTTTGATTTGCATTTCTCTAATTGCTAGAGATGTTGGAACATTTTTTTCATATATTTGTTGATCAATTGAATTTCTTCTTCTATGAAGTGTCTGTTCAGTTCCTTTTTCCATTTTATTAATTGGGTTATTTGTGGGGTATTTTTGCCATTAAGTTTATTGAGTTCTTTATATATCGTGGAGATTAATATACTCTTTGAGGTGCACCACATCTTATTTCCTGGGATCTGCAAGTAATGCTCTTCTACTACTTTTAAGTGGAGATACTGTCAAAAAGTAAAGCTGGAGATTTAGCAATATTCAGATCTTGGCCTTATATACCATGCTACAGATTTTGGGACCCATTCTAAGAGCACTGGGGAGTCACTTGAGGAATTTTGATTTGGGAAACTTGTGTTTACATTTAGAAAGATCATTCTACAAGGTGTGTGTGTGTGTGTGTGTGTGTGTGTGTGTTTTGCTGGGGATGGAACTTGGGGTTTCATGCATGCTGTGCAAATGTAGTCCTATTTAACTATGTCCCCAAACCCTGGCAATATTTTTAAGTGGCAACATAACAGAGAAATTAAAATTTCATTTCTGGAGATTCTCTGCCTGAATTTTAATTTTAGTTTTCCCATTTATCAAAATTGTACCTTGAGAAAGTTCTAACCATTAAAGTCTGTATTTTCTTTTCTTTTCTTTTTTTTAAAGAGAAAGAGAGAGAGAGAGAGAGAGAGAGAGAGAGAGAGAGAGAGAGAGAGAGAGAATTTTAATATCTATTTTTTAGTTTTCAGCGGACACAACATCTTTGTTTGAATGTGGTGCTGAGGATCGAACCCGGGCCGCACGCATGCCAGGCGAGCGCGCTACCGCTTGAGCCACATCCCCAGCCCTAAAGTCTGTATTTTCTTAACTGTAAAAATAGAGAACACACTGATACCTATCTTATACCATTATCCAAAATAGTATAAAACTTAAATTGAGCAGTAGTGCCTGATGCCAATACAACATAAATATTAGTCCTATTGTTCATGGTGACACTGTATTGATAGTAATTGGAGAATGTCTGAACGATAATAAGAACCAAGAAAGTAAATCAATCAATCATTCTAATAACCGAGGTGCAAAATGAGCCAATCTGATTGCAGTAGGATATAGAGGAAGGATAAACATGATTTTGTTCCTGACACAGTAGGAGGTGAGGAAGAATGAGGTGAAAACATGATTTGTAAATTTCTGCCCTAAGTCGTTTCCTGGATGGTGGTGCCATTCAAAGTGCAAGGCAGTTAGTGGATTTGCTTGGGAATACTGGAGTTGTTTAGGAATTCTGGGCTTTCACTTTAATACTCTTCTCTCCAGTGCCTTGACAGAGCCTATTTCTAACTCAGTGTTGATCTCCTCCAGAATGTCTTCTGTAAGGACTTTTGTGGGCCAGGCTGGGAGTTTCATTCATTCCAACCTCAGAAGAATTCAAAGAGAAAGAAACAACAGGTTTACTGATCTCAGCATTCAATGTGAAGTTATTGTTATTGCTTTGTTTTCTAGGGCTTTTATAACCACAGCTTCAGAGGTGGGACTCTGGGTCATTCTGTGTCCAGGACCCTACATTGGTAGTGACTTAGATCTTGGAGGCTTGCCCAGGTAAGTTGTGATCTAAGGGTGACTGCACATGCCCCATAAGCACATTCGAATGGAACTTAGAGCAAAGTGTTTTGCTTTGTTTTCTTTGTACTTTTTTTTTATCTGCACTATTTTGTCCATAGTGAATGAACCATAAAGTATTTGGGACTATATAGTATTTTAAAATAAACCTCTATCTCTACAATGCAGATGGGGTAGAGTTCATATTTATTCTTAAAATAAACTAATGGCTACCCTTAAGCAATATCTTCATGAGTTCTAGGGTTTGTGGTAACAATACAAATATCAAGGCCAATATCCCTTTTTAAAGAGGAGTTTTATTGTTATTGTTTTGTTTCAGGTCTTTTTTTTATTGTAGTAAAATATACATAATAAGAAATCTTCCATTTTAACCACTTAAAAGGATTCATTTCCATGATATCAACTACATTCAAAATGTTGAACATCACTACCATTATCTAGTTCCAGAACGTTTCATCCCTCCAAAAGAAAACCCTGTACCTCAATCCCTCCCCATTTTTTCTCCTCTTCAATTACAATGGCAACCAATATTCTACCCTTTGACTCTACAGATTTTCCCATTCTGGATATTTCATGTAATTGGAATTAGACAATATGTGGCCTTTGTGTCTTTTTTTCACTTCACATAATGTTTTCAAGGTTTATTCACCTTGTAGCATGTGTTAGTACTTCATGCCTTTTTATAGTCTGGTAATTTCCAGTAATGAGGTTCCCCTGCTACCAGCTTCAAAATAGCTTTATAAAAAATCTCATTCTAGACTAGAATTTGGCAAACTCTTCCAGATTGTAAATATTTTAGACTTTATGGGCCATATGCAGTCTCTATTGCAACCATTCAATTCTGCTGATGTAGCACAAAAGTTCCTGTGGCAATATATAAATTATTGGCTATGATGTTCTGCCAATAAAACTTTATTTACAGAAACAACATGTCTGATTTGGCCTTTGGGCTGTAGTTGGGTGAGCTCTGCTCTAGATCATTGTTACATACCTCACCCTTGCATTTTGAGGAAAGACTATGGATAACCTTTATCAGCTGTTTGTAGCTGGTACCCATTGCTCTTTCTTGAAGCTGGATTAAACCTTCACAAGTACAATTGTGTATTTGCAAATGTAGGCTGTCTGTGTTTTCAACCTTCTACACTTGAACATTTCTTAATTTTGTCTCCCATTCCAAGTCTGAGTCTCCCTTTTTTGATCTTAGCTGGTTACTCAAGGATCCAAAAATGAAGCTGCGGACAACTTACAAGGGCTTCATTAAAGCAGTGAATTTATATTTTGATCGTCTGATTTCCAGGCTGTTGCCATTGCAGGTAAAACCCAATCATCCATTTATGCAACTATGGAAAGTAATCACCTGTGTTGATTTCTTGAGGGCTTACCACTTTCTATGCACTCTGAAGCAGGAAGAATATTATTTGCTAATAGGATAGTTACATAGTTATTTCTATGCATGTGCTCTGTAAACTCAAAAAAATATAGTCTTTTTTCTACCATTAGAATCACTCTCAAATTCTCATCTTCTTGACCTTTAGTATAACCGGGGAGGCCCCATCATTGCTATGCAAGTTGAGAATGAATATGGTTCATATTATCTGGATAAAGAGTACATGCCATATGTCAAAAAGGTAAGTGCTTCTTTAAGTTTTCTCTGTATTTACATACTTCTCTTCTCACTAACAAAATGAGAACACCAAATAAAAAGTTTGTAGAGCCAACATATACTGAGTACTTGTAGGCTTGCAGGAACCATGGGATATGAAAGTGAAGATTCAGTTTCATTTTTCCATGCATTTACATTCTAGAGTAAGGACTGAACACACAATGCTAATGTAAAGCGAAAAGTGATGTTAAGATATATTTTCTGTGGGTATTTCCGCTCTCTTTTAGTTGATGTTTACATAATGCATACTTTCAACTTTTCTGTATCCATTTGTTTAAGGTACATGTCTTATAAGTAATATATAATTGGAATTTGTTTTTGTTAATTTATTATGAAAATTCTTGCCTTGTAGATGAGGTTATTTGATTTGTTTACATTCAATATAATTGCTGATGTATTTTATTTAAATTTACCATCTTATTATTTTTCTGTTTGTCTTATCGTTTTTGAGGTCCCTTTCTTTTTTTTCTTTTGTTCTTTTGGATTGATTATTTTGTATTATTCTGTTTTCTCCTCTCCTAGCTTTCTCTGCATTTTTTCACTGTTCTTTTAATATTTTCCATACAGTGTTAAGTTTCTACTCTTGAATTATTACCATCTAAGTTAATATGTTTGCCAATTCCAGGGAAAAATCAACTTAGAACAGTTTGATTATATTTTACTCCATTTTACCTTAGGTATTATTGTTATCATTTGTTTTAATGCTATGTATACTTTTTACCCACAGATATTGTTATTACTTGTATTATATAGAGTTAATGATTACTTAGATTTACTCAGATATTTTTTGTTTCTTCCCCTCTATCTCTGTAAGTATGAGTTTTCATCTCATAATTTCCTCTGCTTTTAGTATTTTCTTTGTTGCAGGTGTGCTCATAACAAACTCCTTTACCTTTGTTTGTTTGAAATATATCTAGTTTGCCATTATTATTTTGTTTTTTCTTTTTTGGTGCTGAGATAGAACCCATTGGCATTTTACCACTGGGCTATTCCAAGCCCCAACCCCTTTTTTAAAATCTTGAGAAAAGGTCTAAGTTGCTTAGGGCCTCACTAAGTTGCTGAGGTTGGTCTCAAACTTGCAATCCTCCTGCCTCAGCCTCATGAATCACTGGGATTAGAGGCATGAGCTATCATGCCTGGGTTAACATTATTTTTGAAGAATTTTTTTTTGCTGTATATAAAGTCCTAGGTTGGTAGTTATTTTCCTTGTAGGTTTTTCTAGCATCCAATATGGCTCTCATTTTTTCCTTTGAGGATAAAGTTTTTTTTTTTTTTGGTTGTTGTTTTGTTTGTTTGTTTTATTCTGGCTGTTCCTAATCCTTTTCTCCCCACAACAAAATACTAAGATTGCCTAGGTGTAATTTTCTTACTAGTTTATCCAGTCTGCATATTTTTTACTCTTCAATTTGTGGATTGAAGTCTTTATCAGTTTTGGAAAATTCTCAAATGTATATGCTGCTTTTCTTCTCAGGTTGTGTACTATGTATTTCAAATACATAAATGTTAGATGTTTTCATCATGTATCACATATTTATCATTCTGTTTAGATTTTTCTCTAAGCCATCTTCTAATTCATTAATTTTCTCTTTGGCTTTGTCTAAGTTAATGTCAAATTCATTCTATTAAGTTTGACTTCAGATAGTTTGACTTTTGTTTCTAAAATTTTTATTTAATTCTTTTCGTTAATCAATGTTTGTAGTAAATCAGCAAAGCTTTAATAATATTATTTCTGTGTAATTTTTTTAAACTACAGACATGGGATGAAGGGAAAAAAATTCTACAAATATTTAGTGTATCTTGATGGTCATGGTATAGCACTGAGTAAAGTTAGGTGGGTTCTTTGTCTTATGGATTTGAAGAATGAAATCCATGGACACAGGGTGAGAGCAAAGTAATAATATTTATAAAAGTAAAAGAAAGAAGGCAGAACTCCCAAAGGAGGAGGGGGTCCCAAAAGCAGGGTTACCAATGGGTGTCTGTTGTCTTGGGGTTTGTATAAATCTACAGCTAGCCCTGACCTAATCCTAAGTATGGCACTCAGAGACCAAGAGCTTTTCAACCTTTCATCCAGTCAGGTTACCATGCTTTTTGGGGGGAGGGTATCTGGGAACTAGGCAAGAGATGTCTCACTATCAGTTAGTTTTTCTGGTTACACAGGAATTGGCCTGACCTTGATGAGGCTTAACTTCTTATGTCTGTAACCTCTTAGCCCTGCTACACAGAAACTTGATCTTGGAGGGGCCCAAGTTTCCTATCTGTCTGTTTTAATTCTATCCCACCTCATTCCCCATTCTGATGAGGTGATCCTAACTGCTTTTGAGGAAGAAGGGCAATGACAACTTTAGGAGTATTGATGGGAATAGCAATTAGGATCCCTCTATAGAGGTCTAATGGGCCCCTACAGAAGTCAGGTAGTACCTCAATGGCAGTTTTTGTTTCCATGACCATCTGGAGTTTAATGAACTCTGTGGGTACCTTACACATCAGGGCAGTCCAGAGGTCCTTGATGGTGGTTGGTGGGTGATTGGAATAGGTATACATAAGTCAGGGTTCATGCAAGAAGAACAATAAACAAGACAGTAAAGTATTATTATCTGTAAACAATTAACATAGAAACAATCAGTGTTATAAGCCAGTCTCTGAAGACTATGAAGACAGTACTTATTAGAGTTTAATATGTGGTTTATATACCTTTGATTTGTGACCATTAGACCATTCAAGGCTTTAGAAACATTAGCAGTGTTGCTGGAAACATGTATACAACATTTAGTTTTTATAGTGGCACAGATGTCCCCTTGAGCTGTGGAATGCCATTTCTGTAAAATAGATTTCTGTAAAACAGCTTTCTCATTGTTGTTACCTCTGTGTTGGTAGAAGAGTCCCTGTGTCAATTACAACTCTCTTGGTAAAGTTAGGGCTTTCATGTGCCACATTATATCCTTTAGACCAATCTGAGGGATAAATATCAAGGTTAGATAATCATTCCAGTGAAAAACAGAGTTTACCTGTGTAGGAGTTCAGGAAAATTCTTAGGTCTCAAATTGACTCATTACAAGCCTGTGACTCTAGTAGCATCTTTTGTGATAGTTGTCAGGTGCTCTTGTACAAGAATCCTTTCTTTATAACCTACTAGTTTTACTTGTTTTGGAGAGGACTGACACAAGTGTATATCTCAAGTTACATTAAAAAATCCATTATCTTTTTTTTTTTTAATGTCCATGTATGACTATACTTTGGTTAGTTTCCTGCCAGGTGTTTAAGACAAAGTTGGTCAAAAAATTGACCTTTTTCCTATCTGCTATTAAAAATCATCTGAGATTTTGTCATGGATCACTGTTAGGAACTTGTGAGAAGCCTCTTGGCTCCTTTATCTTTATTCTACCAGTCATGCTATCTGCCAGGATGGCAGTCTTGCCAACTACATGTGGCTTCCCTTGAAACTTCAGGGACATTTACCTTTCCAGTGACTTTCCTCTTTGCAGAATGTGCATTGGTTGGCTTTTTGTTCTCTAGGGTCTTCACAATCCCCTGATCAAGAGGTCAGGTGACTCACTGGAGTTGCAGGGACCTTAAAGAAGTCCTGTTGTTCCCTGCGTTCTGGATGATCTTAGGGGGCAAAGGTCAAAATATTGGCTACTTTTTCCTTGGCCCTTTTACTTAGAGACTTTTGTCTCTAAGTTTGGATTTTAAACATCTAGTAGTCCACTTTTGCCATTCTTGAAATTGGAGTAATAGGTTGTAACTTTAATGTTTATAATTTTACAGTTATTCCTTTTGTTTAACTAGGGTATCAGTTTTATAGTTACTCCTTTTGTTTAATTATGGTTAATATCAGTACTGGAAGTCAGCATTATATTCTCTCGTCCTAGAGGTAATGCTTTATTATCTCAACTCAGGATATTCTGATAGAAGTAGTACTTCTGTAAAACACTAAGAGGTAATAGTTATAAAGTAAAATTAGCAAGAACTTGATTTGTAAACCCAATAGACACAAGAAGTTATCTTGATAGGTAATGTTATAAAAAAAAAATTGGCCTTTGCTTTCTCCCTGATGTCTATCCAGTAATGAAGACAAGGTTTTGAGAAAAAGGAAAAAGAAGTTTTGTTTCTTTGTTAGCAAAGGAGAAATATAGATGACTAATTACCTGGGGAACAATGGTTCTTTATAAAAAGGTGATTTAATGGCTACATTTCAGTTGCCCCCCTCTTTAGGGTCATAATTTATTTGCAGCTTTGAGAGCTATTTTTTTTTTTAGATTTTTTTGGCAACACTGAATTATTTCTTTCCTCTGGTATGTGAGCCCAGGGATAGACAACTCAGCCCAGAATGAAAAGAAATGTAATCTCCCTTCCCCCAATGTTAGGGAGGGGAAGATGGAGAAAAGAAAAAATTGTGTCAGTTTTAAAATAAGATGCAGAGCAGCAAGGTCTACACTCAGAGCATGAAGTAGACTCTGTTATAATGAGAGCAGATCAATGATTTAAGGAATGTTGTTGTTTTTAAACGTGAAGAACTAGATTTTATTCTCTATCAAAATATTAGAAGTTGACCATAGGTAAAAAATGCTTAAATAACTTTGACTGTGATTATAGCCAAATTAATTGCCCACAAATTTTTTGAGATTTACTTTTCACAAACCATTTGTAACTTAATTAGATACTCTCTAATTTCTTTTATCCTTAGTTTTGTCTTTTATTTCAAAAGGACTTTAAGACAAAAATATTATAACTAGGACAAAATATTATTCTACTCTACAAGATACTTTCTCTTTCAGAAACATTTATTTTTACCTATTATTTTTTCTTAAGATATATTTTCATATTTATAATGTTCTTGTAACTTTCCTAGTTGCTGACATTTTAAAGTATACATTCTGAAACAATCTATGAAATTTCTGAATTTAGACAATAATAAGATGAAATACTTTATGCTTTTCTTATAGTTTTTTCATCAAAACACAACTT